CAGCACCTGCCCCAGGTGTGTGTCTGTGTGACTGTCACAGAGGGGGCGTGTCTGCAGCACCTGCCCCAGGTGTGTCTGTGTGACTGTCACAGAGGGGGCGTGTCTGCAGCACCTGCCCCAGGTGTGTGTCTGTGTGACTGTCACAGAGGGGCGTGTCTGCAGCACCTGCCCCAGGTGTGTGTCTGTCCCCAGTCGCTGACAGACGGGATGGTGTCTCTTCATATGTGTGGACATGCCGATGTATTGCCGTTATCGTGTGTCTTTCTCTTTAAATAACGCCTACATACCGTAACGCTTTCGTCCACCACCCTCCGTCATTTTAAGTTACAGGGAAGACAAAATGCTCCCAAACTTGCGACTTAAATGACGCCGGAGCTTCTCAAGTTCCTCCGCTCGCCATGACTTCCACCGTTAAATGCTTTTAACCTGCTCCGTTCACTGAACACACTACTGCTTTATATCTGTTCACGGACACTCTGCATTGATATTCAGGGACTTGTTACTTGAAAAGAAACAGCAGCAGTAGAACTTTATTACACACTGATGATGATTAAAGTGTAAAAAATAAAAAATAAATACTCGATTGATCCGCGGTTCAGAAGTGATCCGAACCGTGAGGGCTGATCCCAACGGATCACGGATTGATCCGTGATCTGTTACACCACTAATGTATATACATATGCGTGTATATATACATATACATATGCATATGCGTATGCGTATGCATATGTATATATACACGGTGTGTGAAGGAGAGGTACCACAGGTCCTTCCTGCTGCTGTCAGGCTGCACAACCAGCTGTGCTCCCAGTAGAACACACATCACTCACTCTGTCATCATACATCATGTGTTCACCTCACACAGGAAACAACGCTGAGCTTCTAGAGGAAGTACTTGTGTTGTCATGACGTCACCGTCTCTTTGATCTCACTACACCTGGTTCAGGTGAGGACTCCAGAGGAGCAAGTTATACGGGAAGAGGACACACACACCGTCTCTTACCGTTGATCAGCGGGTCTGAATCCATCTTCTCTGAATGTCTCGTGTTGTGTTCGTCTAGCAGCAGACATCCTCCATGCTGCCGTGTGCTTGTTGTTGTGCTGTCTGTCTGTCTGTCTGTCTTAGTGGAAGCTGTCAGAGCTGCTGTGAGGAGGCGTTCTTCTTCTTCTTCTCCCGCTCCGTCCTGCTGTCGTTACGTAACGTTAACCGCTCCGAGCTGCAGCCGTTACCGTTGCTAGGCTGCGGAGCCTCCATGCTAACGGAGATTAAAAGTTCAGAGACAACACGCGCACACACACACGCGACGCGACGGGAGATTTGTTTCACTCTTCACAGCCTTTACTTAGAGCTAATGGATATGCTAATTATTATAAATGTCTGTTAAATTTGTGTTTAATAAAATATTAAAGTTGCTTCGTTGTATTTTCACACCGTTGACGTCACATCGGTGCTGTCAGAAAAACGAGCTAATTAGGTAAAGTAGCTTGTTAGCTAACTAGCAATGCTAACGCGTTATTTTAACGGTAAATTGTGATTTTTATTTTTTTATAATCTTGTCGGATTAAACGCAGTGTTTTTTTCTGGGTGCTTGAAGCTGTTAGCTTAGCGTGCTAACCAGCTACCTTAGCCTAGCCTAGCCCTCCCCCTCCTCTCCTCCTGGTGCGTCAAACCCCCCGAGTTCACCGGAAACCGTCCTCACACCTCCAACACGGACGGAAAGTCGGGTGTTAAAAACCCGCCCTGTTAACGGACTGAAGGCGTCCGTTCGACGGACGTAAGGCCTCACGTCTCTTCGGTGTGTTTCCCACGTTTCTTCCTGTTTGGTTGAACGCCTCCTCACTACTTTTCATTACAGTCAAGTTAGCCGCCATTCAAGCAGCCACACTTCCGCAGAAGGATTTCAAAATAATTATTTTATTTACTTCCTTACTATTTTTCACTTATACCTTTACTGTATCAATACGTAATTATTGTACTTTTTTTGATTTTGTTTTTCTACTCATGTCTCTTGTTTGCACTTTACACTCTGCTGCTGTAATCCTGCAATTGTCCCCGCTGTGGTTCTAATAAAGGATTATCTTTCTTACTTTACTTACTAATGTACTTTCATATTAGACACTGTAGTGACATGTGCTTCCCAAAAAAGTCACCACGGTTGCTGAAATGTTTGTTCTGACGCCATAAATAAGTTCAGTTTCCAATATAGGCATTTTATTTCTCACATAAACAGAGTTCAACCCTTTCTCTGTCGTTATCCAGTTTCTACATAAACCAATACATCCTAACATTTACATGCAATAAAGGTGCTCCCCTCTGTTCAGGACCCCTGTATCCAGTGACCCCACTGATTACAATACCTGTGCCCTGATTCACACCGGCGGTGTGTCTGTCTGCATGTGTTTCTTCTCCAGCTTCGTGTTGTAATGAAGCATTTTATTTATATTTATATTTCCTCTTGTCTTCTTATTATAATCATAATTAAAGACTTAAAGTGAACAGAAGATTTAATTTAAAGAATATTAATTATTATTGATCACAAGGAGCTCAAATCAAACCAGCTTGGTTTATGACAAACACTTTATTTTGAAGGTCTGAAGAGACTTCCTGTCACGATCACAGAGGATCAATAAAGGAACAAAGTTTCTTTGTCCATTACAGACCATAATATCACATCACCGTGGGAACCGTGTCCTGAACGATGAGAGGAAGATTAAAGTGACGACGTCCAACATGAAGACTAGAGGACGTCCGATAGTCCCTGAAGCTCTCTGAGACCCTGAGGAGGAGGAGGAGTTCAGTGATTATAATAATTGTATTAATACTCTGATCAATAGAGTAGAGTGATTGATGACATCACGTATCACTTCCTGTTTAGTTATATTTATAAGCTGATTATTAATAAAATACAATAATTGATCACTTTTAGAGCTTTAACAACACAATCTTAAATAAACAAATATAAATACATCAGAAAAATAATAAAATATCAGAAAAAACTCAACTAGTGGCTCATTTATTAATAACATTTATTGATTGATTATTTAGAGTTGTGTGATGAGGATGAAGATACTGACCTCGATCACCATGCGGATGTTGGCTTTGATCTTAGCCGAGTCTTTGGTGAGCGTCTCTGTGAAGCTGAAACACAACGTTAGCGTCCCTCACTCACAGCAATGAACACAGCTAGCATTGAGCTAGCTGTGGAAGGAGGAGAAGGAGAAGAAGAAGAAGAAGGAGAAGGAGAAGAAGAAGAAGAATCACGTCATCAAATCAAAAGATAAATAAACAAAACAACTCGTCCAACCACAGAAACATACCAACATCTCACACATGACCGATCAGCTCCCCTCCTCCCCCACGAAGCATAAATCACCGGCACTCTGAGCCCGGTTCCTGCGTGTTAACCAGATGGCCATCTTAGCCGTACCGGACAAACAGTTCACCAACGTTGTAACTGTTTTCCTCTTAGCAGAGTATTTGGGACCAAAGACAAACAAAACAAGACCCTGGAACCACCTTTCTAAAAGTTCAAACAGTGCTGAGAGCCGAGGACACTGAACGAACAGATGTACAAGAGTTCCACTCTGGGAGCAGAATAAACACCCCCCCCCCAGCTCCGGATCAAGGTGCTCTGTACCCGTTTGTGGCTGAGCTGAGGATGCCCCTCCAGAAGCTCCTGCCGACACTCCGTGCTGCACTGCTCCGCCCCAAAGAGGTCAGCGTTGGAATCCATGGCATGGTTCCTCATCTCGCCCGGGCTGGTGGTCACCCTGCCTCCTGGAAGCCTGAGGCAGGTCATCTGCTTCCTCTGTGCCACTGTTCTCTCCAGGTTGAAGAAGAAAGAGCTCGGGCCTCCATGTCCTTCAGCTGGAGGAAGCGAGACCTGACCAGAGCTCCCTTCACCCTCTCCTGCAGGAAGGAGCTCAACTCAACCTCCTCTCCTGGAGCAGTTGACCCGTAGCAGGGTCTTGGTCTCTGGACTGCTGCCCTGATCTTAGCGGTGGAATGGGAGGTGTACTGCTGGCAAAAAACACAAACGTGTGTTTTTGCGACCTCCCACCACAGCCTCACAGAACTAAAGTCAGTTTTTCTGCTTTTCGAAATCAGCCAAAAAAGCTCAAAGCTCTTGCAGAATGCAGTGTCCTGCAGGAGCTTGTTGTTGAAGAGCCAGTACGACTTGACCTTTGACCTAGTGATGATGTGGTGGTCACTGAAGCCAACTGGCCTGATGCTACTGTGGAGCAATCTGGAGCCGAGACCCTGTGAAATGTATATCCGGTCTGATCTGGCTGCACTCACCCTGTTATTGTTGACCCTCACCCAGGGTAGGACATTTACATATGTTTTTGGGGGCAGTTTTTGGCAGTTCAAGAAATTGGAAACTTGTGAAATAACATTTAACCTTTGTTCAAAATAATAAATATACTTATTTAGGCTTACAGTATATGAGCAATTGTCATCAAATGGCAACAACAAGACTATTAGCCGTAGTCTACAGATTCAAAGTGTTTTCTTAGATTTGTTGAACAAAAGACAATCATATTCAATTTATTCTTATTATTTGTGGTTATTTATTATTATTACATTTTTTTAAACTATTAACAATTATTAAGTCAACGATGCCTTGATTACATATACATCAGTCATTGTGTGGAATTATTGAGAAAGATATTTTTGTAGCACCTCAAATTTAAAAATGTGCCATTTGAAGGTACAAATTCAGTTCAGAGTTTGCTTAGTAAAATATCTTAATTGACTGTCGGTCAGGTATTGTTCATTAGCAACCCTCAAATCAAAGAATAAAGACACTTTACGCACAAGTTAGGTGTATTTTCCCTTTAACTCACGAGATGCAGGTAGCATGTTTTATACTTAATGTGAATATAATTCATACTTTGTTGTCATCTTATTCTGAAAACCGGATGTTGTCTCACGTTAATCTTTCCGTTAACTTTCAAAGTCCTTCGCTCGCTCCCGATCTGTGCCGTTTGAATGCGTTTACCGTGAATGTCAGCATATAGGAGCACTAACATGTGAGTGTCTGCTGAGTTGACCAGTCTCGCAGCCTCAGGTCTGATGAAGAAGCGCTCCATTTATTTATTCGTTTAGAACGTTCGGGGGCATTTGTTGCCCCTCTCCTAGTGATATCAGGGGCAAAATGATATTTCTTAGGGGCAGTTTTGCCCTTTGCCCTCGTGTATTTCCGACGCTGCTCTCACCCATGTGTACTGTCTGGATTGTGGATGTTTGGTTCTCCATGCGTCTAGCAGGTCCAGACGTGTGACGACCCTGTTAAGGCTGTGAGATGAGTGTGCATGTGGTTCCTCACCGGTCCTGTCTACCGTACAGTCCAACGTGCAGT